GACGCGTTTTGGTTCCAAATTGGTTGAGATATTCGCGTTTGAATCACGTTAAATTTATTATCAATAATTTCGTGTCACACTGTACGTCACACATATAATTAATAATTTTCCTGAAAGCTATATCATTCCTGTTTAGTAATAGTAAAATAATCTTTTATCCCTGATAATAATAATGCAGAACTATTTACGCTTAAACTGTTCGATTCGTACACACCAGTTAAAGGAACTGTGTTATGTGTCACCCATTATCACGTCAAATTTTTAATGGCAAAAGATTTTGGTCGACTTATCGAACCGCTTTATCGAGACCGTATATGCAAATTGCCCTAAAACATAATTTACATATGTAATTTGCAACACTAATAGCGTGTAAACTAATATCACACAATCTGATAATCCCTAAAGACACTTCCTTATAATATCCTTATTGTTTGTTACGTGATGAGCCAACAAAGCTTCTTCTTGTAGCTTCAGGCGAGGTTGTTTTTTTTTGGGGGGGGGTTTGCACATGCTGCCAGTTTTACTAACCTTTTTTTGACTTGGAGTGTGCGTACGGTCAAGAATTGCAACATTATATTTGAGAATGCCTATATCGGTCGACTTTTGCGGCGGCATTATATTTAGAGTAAACTTTTATCATGGAAATTGTGGGATTAGAAATTTACCGACTTTCATTTATTTCTATCGCTGTTCGTTGTTACGTTTCACGGCGTTGCCCAGGTGTTGTAGCAGTTTGTTACATAATAATCACATGATAATCGAATAACCGTGGGTTGTTGATTGTCAACACACGATATATTGATATATTACCAGACGCGATTCCTTCGTTCGGGCTTTACCTAATGGATCTTCGAACAGAAACGAAAGATCGTCCCTCGCTTCGTAACAGCCGTTTTAGCTTCAAGAGCCTGGGTATTATAACAGATCTAGAGCATGATTATGTATTGCAACGCTGATTAATTCTGACTTTATTAGTTGGATAAAAGGTCACGCAAAAAGAATAAAAGTACCAGACACGTATGATACGGTTGAAGAGGAAAAACCGCCCTCTGTTGCCAAAGTTTGGGAGAACAAGGGTAAAGTTTTGGGCATAAATAGAGTAATGTGTGGTCCTTGAACATACAGACACTGACGCATTGCTTTGCAATTATCAAACATTGTTGCAGACAGGAATCAGGATGTGAACCCAAATCAACTGATAGGAGGGTCATTGTCTAGCCAAGTAAGTAGAACAAATTATCTTCTGTATTTATGGAAATCGCGTCATTTGTGAATTAAAAGACATATTTAATACTTACTGAAGCCCTCAGAAACTATCGCACCGATCTCACACAACAAAGGATCATACGCTGTTAAGTATTGATTAAAATGATAGCGATTGTGTTGGAAGTTACAATACTCATTTAATTCTTGGTCTGAAACGCATTCAGCTCAATGGCAAGACGTTTTTTCGTGAATCTGTAATTGGTAGAGGTGGCAGCAGTAAAGTATATAAAGTTAAAGATATAAATGGGAAAACATACGCTCTCAAAAAGGTCTCCTTCGAGAACGTGGATGCGAATACGGTAGAGAGTTATATCAATGAAACCAAACTGTTAAAGCAGCTTCAAGGACATGACACTATAATACAAATGTATGACTATGAAGTCAATCGCGAAATGGGCTATCTGTTAATGGTAGCAATGGAATGAAGGGCTGTTCGGGTGTATTGATTTTATACAAGTATATTTATTTTTGGTTCATTCGCAGTTAATGGAATGTGGCGATATCGATCTGGCGAACGTTCTTTGTAAGCAGCAAGGGAAACCGCCTGACATGATTATAGTACGTGAATATTGGAGACAGGTGTGCACGCCAAGCAAAACTTATTTCCAGCAATTATTTGATTTCATAGACTAAAGTTAACTAGTCTTTTTCTTGTTTTTGTTTTGTTTTTTTTTTATTTTGCATTGTAAGATGCTGCAAGCCGTCCAGACTATTCATGAAAAAGCTATCGTTCATTCTGACCTGAAGCCTGCTAATTTTCTTCTAGTCGCCGGTTCCCTTAAGCTAATAGACTTTGGAATAGCAAAGGCTATACCGAATGATACAACAAATATTTATCGAGATGCACAGGTACTGCAAATAAGTTAAAATCATATTTTATATGATTTGTTCTAACTCGTTTTTTGCTTGTCAGATGGGAACGATTAATTACATGTCACCCGAAGCTATTATGGACACTAATACTATCTGTGCTTCCGGACAGAAACTTTTTAAGGTAATATCTTGAGGAAGCTACCGTATTGTTTACTATGACGCGTAACAGTATTAGATAATAACGTTCGTCTCTATAGGTTGGAAGACCAAGTGATGTTTGGTCATTGGGATGTATTTTGTACCAAATGATATATGGGCACACACCATTCTCCCATCTCAACGTCGCAAAAGCGATCCAATATATTCCTGACGTAAACTACGCAATATCATTTCCTCGCAGAGTACCAATAGCAAATAAGCATAAATCGCAACCATCAATAACCAGTTTGGTAGATAGTCTTGTTTATACGGTCGAGGAGGATGCAATAAGAGTCATGAAGAGTTGTCTGCAACGGGATGCCAAAAAACGAATGACAATACCCGAACTATTGTCAGACTCATTTATGCAGACACATCAAGAAGGTAACTGACATGCTGTGTGTATTTGTTTCAATGTAGCAGAATCACTGATAATAATTTATTATGGCCATTCGTTAACTTAGACAGCACGTTGGATAAAGTGCTGCCGTGCATAGTGCGCGAAGTACTCAAGTACAGTAGTTGCACACCTTCTGCATCTGACAGAGTAGACCATATTTCAAAGGTCAGCATTCTATTCAATTAGCTGAGATAAAATACTTGCGTGCTAAATTCCTCGATTTTTCTCTTTATTCAGGCGATACTTTCGCAATTAAGACAGAAAAAACCACTTGATTCTTCTCAATGGGATTAATACACTGTAATAAAATTATATTTATGCCCAACATCTGTGTTTATGTTAATATTTTTGAAAATATTTTGTAAACGACACTTTTTCATAAACTTCAAAATGGATTTTATCCGAGTATTGCAAAACCCAATTTCTTATTTATAAGTACGCGTTTTTTTAAAACGTCGGCTGGCAATTGTTTCTCCACCATCTATCTATTTGTCACTATGTAACCCCCTAAAAGCCGTATTTATATTATGTAAATCCGAGATTTACAACACACATACTGTATATGTTTTTTGTCGTTTGTAATTTAATTTTTTCATACCATATTATTGACCTATCTTTCTAGTCTTCAATACCCTATTCTTTCTCTCAAGCGCTTTGTTCTTATCGCGTGGAAAGGCCAGAGGCTTAATTGGAATAAGAATGTCATCCGACTACACAATCATCAGTGATAATCGGCTCATTGTCCGTGGTCTGGTGTTCTGGCGTTTTTTGTATTACATTTGAGTGCTATATAATTCACAATGGCAGAGTGATGCGATATTTAAATGATTTAAGCTCAAGAGTGTCTTTATAATATTCTATGCTTCCTGCAAAATTGCTACTATATCTAATTTATGACAGTCTACCATTAATAATGCTAGCTCAAGCTGACATCTTACAACAAAGTTTTCTTCCTTATTATTATTATTTACGTTAAATCACATGCTTCAACATTCTCGCGACGAATTTTCCCACCAATCACGTAGCAGTTCCGCGTCGCGACTTTTTTGATATTTGTGATCGTTACTCATTAGACAATACTTACCTTGACAATGTCGAAATTTCCACAAACTGTATTCAAAGTATTCCAACAATATGGCCTAACCGTTACTTCGAAGATAATAGATTATCTTAGGGATGTGTTCGAAGAAAAGGAAGTTCCTCAGGAAGAATGGGTCGAGAGTTTAAGTAACATAGCAGAGGAATACCAAAGCGATTTGTTACCCAAGTTAGTAGACTTGGATAACTTGGACAAATTGATAAAAAGACTTCAAGACACTGCCCTTGATGCAACAGTAGAAGATGAAATAATGCTAGATGCGCAGGCGGAAAGCAATCAACCGATGCAACCATACCGAGAAGATAATATAACAGATCTGGAGGTTGACCCACGCAAATTTTTCCACATACACAATATCTTTGATATAAATGATTATAAATTGTTTGATGATAAAGAGACAATAGCGATGAGGTTGAAAGAGCGACGAGACTTGATACGCAAGAAAATCATGCATAAGGAAGAACTTGAACGCAATGGGCCAAAAGTACGTCATAAATTTTAATATTGGTTAGAAGAGTTGATGAGTCAACATTTTTAATCTTGGAACCAATTATTTGCACATTGCTACATCATGTTAGCTGGCATCAATAAAGGATCTCGCTGGTCGAATAGGCGGAAGCTTTAGATTACTTGGGGTAATTTCTATGCTAGGGGACGAGAACAAATTTTTTCTTGATGACATGGATGATAGCATTGAATTGGATTTGTCTTCGTATGTGCGTTATCAAAATCCCGATTGAGCCATTACGCATGTAATTATCGGCATTGTAGAATTGATGTCGACGTAATTATTTTTAGTCTGGAGAAATGGAATTTGTGCTTGAGGATACCTTTGTTGTTGTTGACGGAACTTATTCTGAAAACGATGAAGACGAGATCTTTCTGGTAAAGGATGTTCACAGTCCACCTCATGAAAAACGGGAAATCACCAAGTAATCTATGTATAACAACTATTAACGTCTTTCTGCACAAGTTTTACATAGGATGACACAATTTTGACGTCATTGTAGGAACGAGTTCGGATATGAAGGCTACTGGACACCCAAACATCCAATAAGAGATTTGGTTAGTGTTTGTTATAAGAGTCGTAATTTTAGAAAATTCATCAAAATGACAAATTATTTTAAAAAGGGCGTTATCAAATCATACGAAGCCAAATTGATGCAGACTCAGTTCGTGATATTATCTAACGTTGAGCTCGACAATCCAAAGGTTTGTATCGATACAATGTTGTTGATAAAGTTGGTTCAATTAAAACGAACATGTTTCCATATCGACATTGATACAATAATAGACACTACGAGAGTTATCGACGCTCTTCAAGAAATACCAATCAGAAGCGCAGAAAGGGCGTGTCTTTCCATTCTTTGTATTTATAGGAAATTTTATTTCATGGAAGTTCTCATACGGAGACCATAACACTAAAACTTATAGAGGTGAGCAGGATTGTATAAATCCCAACGGCTTCTTATCATCGTAATTCATTTTAACAATGGTAATGCTGCAGATTACATGACCTCTCTTGGAGTGCTAATCTCTCGATATCACGACTTGGCACAAAATGCACATTTTGTCTTTGTTCCGGGACCAAACGATCCTAGCTTGGGTCCTGAATTGCTTCCAAAATCAAAGATACCTGACATATTCACTGACAGACTGAGGGCGATGGTTTCCAACGCTTCATTCGTCAGCAATCCCTGCAGGTGAGAAAATTTAGTACGCGAATGACTTGCACTATCGCCATTTGCATATCCTGACCGATATCGTTGTCACACAGGCTTAAGTATTTTACCAAAGAAATCGTTATATTTCACGAGGATGCTCGGATGTTACTGCAGACAGTACCTCTACATAAGAACAAAGAGATCACCAAAGAGAGTTTGAAAATGCAGGCAAGTGATCATAGCAAGTATCGTGTTTTCGTTATCAAAATATTTACCTATAAATCTATTTTGCTATCCAGAAGATAAAAACGATTTTGCGTCAATGTCATTTAATTCCATTCTCAACAAAAATGAAACATATTTACTGGCCATTAGATTATACACTGAGATTGTATCCTACGCCTGATGTCTTGATTTTAGCTGCTAGCAATGGAATGTGGAAGTCACAACTCGATGACTGCCTTTGCTTTAATCCTAAATCATTCGCCCATGGCTGGGGTTATTATCAACCAAACATAAATGAATACAAATCAAAAGAACATGGGGAGGATTTGAAATAGATTGATCGTGGTGCGCGTGGTGCGCGTAATGCGCGTAATGCACGTGATGTATTGTTTGCCAAAGGCAGCTCGGTGACACTTGTACATAATAGTAGAGTAGCCTAATAAAACGCATTTGAGAACACATCTATATAGTGAGAAACCATTAATCCTTTTATGGGTGAGTGATCGATTCTTGGCACATACGATTGCGATTTAATTGTCAATGATTAACGTCGAGACAAGATCGATGAGAAGTATCGTGAATTGTAAACTCTGATTAAAGGTGTCGAATTACTGTGTATATTTAACAGGAGTAGTCTCAAGGTCAATACGCAATCATTCTCCATTGTTTATGGACTCGACACCTTCCTGTACTTCCTACTCTCACTTGCATAATACTGATCCAATCAAATAGCAAGGGCCAATTAATAAGCCTGTGGATCGCGATATCTATGAATATATACGATGCTTGTCAAATATTTTATGTACTGTTTGGTCAAGCTTGTTCATTGGTGTTCGAACAAAGGATGCGACCCAAAAGCTACTAATTTGACCGAGAATCTCTTAGCAAAAATACAGGATGGTAAACTTCAATTTAATAATATATTTCAAATGAAAGTATTCAGAAAAACAGAAGTACATACCTAATACCTACACAACAATAAAGGAGCTTTCACTATATCACTATAACGTTGTCAATTGGAAAGATTCAAGCAAGTTTTCGCTAGAAAGTGATTGCGAAATTCTACACTTGCCATAAATGTTCGTTCCATAAAATCTGATATCAAAAAATCATCAGATAGTTGCAGGTTCCGGTGCGGTCAAAAACTCCGTTCAGGACATAATAATAATAACCGTTTCTAAAGAGTCTAAGAGTTGATACGATTCGGACTATCGAATAGAGCGGAGCATTTGAAACATATTGGTACTAGTACATAATTATGCGAGTAACGAAAAGCATCAACAACCTCGACTCATACCAAATTAACAATGATTTTGTTTAGTAATCGTTGGTACATACGAGTTGAGTATACGCGATTAAATAATTAAATAGGTCACTCGAAGTATAGTTCAGTCTTCATTGAATAGCTAAGACGATAGAGCTAATCTTGGTTGTAGCATGTAGTATTTTATTAGGGAATGACACAGATAATAAAACAAAGCAATGTCTTGCTGGGTGCTTAGATATCTTTTCATTGATTATATAATTCAAACTCACGCTCATACATAGTTTTGATCCAACCCTTGATCGAACCTTGTAATAACAGATCATTTCGGCGCCCATAAATACATCAGAAACATGTTCCAGAAATCCAGTTATTTAACAATGGTTGGAAGGTACGATGATTGATGTCTATACCAAATTAAAGACAATATAGTTTCGTCACTTAGTTCTTTTTCTTTAGGAATAAATATCACAAAATTTACCAAATTATAAATCATGCAATATGTGATTAGAATGTTGGACCAAAATCTTTAAAGGGTCATTGCTTTGTCACACTAACAGGAAGTCTCAATTACATTCGAGACCCGAAGTCGACGTTGTAGTTTTGAACCATGCAAGATTTTTTGACCCTAACGATTTTGATTATATGTTTTCCTGGATTGATATGTTTTAACGCAATAAGCATTACTTCAAGAATGAAAAGCTTAATAAGACGATAAATACTTGCATTACACACACTTGGTCTCTACAAATGTAGATAGGTTAATCAATTTCCAAATATTATTTACATCTCTCTCTCAATAGGCATTATGCGATTAAGATGAGAAGAGCTCCTAATTGTGGCTTCCCTGGAAGAGCATTACATTTTTGAAGAATGGTTTAACATCCACACTGTTATACTACATTTATATGCTCTACTACATTACGCAAACGATACAATTATTAAAAAAAAAAAACGAGTAAATTTGCAGTATTGTGTACCTTCAACAAAGAGACTTCTTTTCATGCTATGCAACAATTCTTACGAAATCACAAGGCAACTCGCCCTCTGATGGTACAACGTTAATTATGAAAGAAAAAAAAATATTATTGATGCATGTATATATGTATATGTAAGCAAATTGTCATAATTACAAAGGTTCAGATTGAAAAGCAGACGTAAAATACAGTAATCGTAACCTAGTAAAAAGAGTTCTTATCGACCACCGAGTCCGCGCCTCTCAATCTCCTCCAAAGTCATCATGCTACGTTGTTGAAGACTAGTATTTGATGGCATTCCTAAATAGTCATGCACCTCATTAGGTTGTCGAGTATCACTTTTGTAAGAGAAACAGATAAATAGCAAACACGCTAACCTGATAGAGAATTAGGTGCTAAAGCACTATTGACAATATTCGGTATGAATTGTGTATATCCATGCATATTTGCAAATAAAGCTTCAGCGCCTGGGTGCAGCATATTAGGGTGCGAATGAACAGCAAACTGTTGTGGTATAGCAGGCCCTGAGAATTGTTGTTGATGGGGGTGATGGGGGTGATGAGGGTGTTGTGGTTGTTGATGATGATGTTGATGTGCTTGGTGGGGTTGATGATGTTGCTGTTGATGTTGATGATGGTGATGATGATGTTGCTGTTGTTGCTGCTGTTGTTGCTGCTGATAACTAAAAGGTGGAGGCATTGATACTGGAATGGACGCTTGTTGAAACTGAGATTGTAGTTGTTGAGGGTTCCGCGGTGCCAAGTTAAACAATTGCTCTACTGGAATATTACGCCCTAATTGTGGCGGAGGTGGAGGTTGTGGAGGTGGTTGCGGATAGTCACGTCCTAACGACATATTCCCATTCGAATAGGGTGGATGAATTCCGTGGTATGGGGATGGATTGAAATTACCCTGCTGCGGAAGACCTGGTGACCTTGGAGGCCCTGCAGCCTTGAAATCAGATCCATGAAAGTCTGAGATAGGAGGGGATTGGGGTATAATCGGCGAACGTGAAAAACTAGGTACCAAAGGCTTTGCGGAATTAAATTTAAGGGCAGGCGAAGAAGCTCCAGACGACTCTCTAGAACCACCATCGGACCTGGAGCTCAGCTGCCTATAAACGGACGTCGGCACATTCCCTCCAAACAGCATATTAATCTTCTTGACGGAATCTGATGCATTCGCGTCAGGAATGACCATTCCTCTATTCGGCGTTTCAAGTTTAGGAGGCTTGTTTCCCATGACGGGTTTCTGAGCAATAATAATAGAAGGGTCGTTAAAAGGAAGCCCTTGATGTGCTAATCCTGGTTGATAAGCCGGTACTGCGTGAATAGATGGGGATACTGAAAAGTTTGAGGGTGGCTCCATCGCATTCTACAAAATGGTTATCAACAAGACTTTAGGTTTCAGGTTGCTTGTTCCGTCAGGGTACAAAAATCCGACTATTCAGGACGTCAAGAAAAGTTAAAGCAGCATGAATACAGGAGCTTACATTGCCTTTTGCCAAAACTGCAAGAATTTTGTTGAATCCCATGACATCATCGACACCAGAGTCATCGAAATCATGGGACTTCGAAGAAGGCCTGGCGCCAAGGCTTTGCAGTACTTCTGCTTCTGAAAGCATGCGTTTGCCATCATTAGTAGTTGTGCTTGGGGACAGTGGAGTAGAATGGTTAGTTGTCGTCTGATTTTGAAATAAAGTCTCAAATTTTATCGATGCTCCCGATCTAGGTACATCTTTAGACGCAGACGTGACTTGTGCCGGCATAGAGTTTTTTTTCGATTCGTCAACATTGTCCATATCAGAAATACCTTTCTCCGCGCTATGGGAGAAGAACCTTGCAAATCGGGAAGTTTCTTGTTCGCGAGATGGGCCCTCTAGCTCTTTAACGTTATTAATCTTCCCTACATTCTCTTCAGCGATGGCAAGTCTATGTTGGGAAAGAAAATTATCAAACGCTGAAGAATTGGGATCTAAAGGGACGTTAATATCCAAGCCACCCAGGCCAAATAGTTTGTCAACATTGGGCACATTGCTCGTGCTCTTTGACGGTTTCACTATTGAAAATTAGAATAAGTCGTTTTCCCAAGTAACAGCGTACGACATGCGAACAAGAAAATAATTACCATCAATATCGAACGTTGTATCTCCTTTTATCATATTCTCCTTGTCATTTAAAGCGCCGGCTATCGCCGTCATATGCCCCTCTATACCGACGAGTTTACTATCCGCTCTCCATGAGACGCTGCTATCAGCACGAGACATACTACGAGGTCTACTTCTTTCATTCGGATCCTTACGATCCTTTTCCACGCGCTGCTTATGTTTTTCTTGTTCCCTCATTTTAAGCTTCCATGCTTGAATATCGTCAATAAATGCTTTATTGTCATCATCGTTCTTCTTTCCTTTCTTCATTGTTTCGTCTGTTTGCGGATTATAATTCATCCATTCTGGTGTCTCCGAACGATCTTCTTGGTAATTATGATACCGCGAATTGCTCGTTCTATTTAAGTCTTTATGGCCCACACCAACTAAATACAGAACATGCGGTAAGAGATAAGATTTCCCAACAATATTAATACTTGTGCGACAGGTCATGATCCGAAACATATTGCATAACCAATTAGTGCTCCACAATTTACCATCCTTTCTATTACCTCTGGTGGTTTCGTGTGGTCTTGCGCCTGCTGTTAGTCGGCCGTTTGTATTGCTTGAAAAAGTATTAGCTTCTTTAGACGCCTTTTCAGCAAGATTTCGCTCACGCAAAGCCTCCCTGCCAACAAACCCTCGTCCACCAGTTGGACCTCGCGGTGCTCGTGGTTCAAATTCTTTATTGGAAGGTTTCATATATATCAAATCATCTGTCTGCCAAAATTGGAGTTAGCATAATAAATCAACAAATGCAAAGACGGCAGCTTAACGCGCTTACTTGTCGTCGCGATCCATCGGTTCTGTTTGATCTTGCAGGTAACTTTTCCCCAGAAGGTTTCAGTCCTGCCAGTGAAGTTGAAGCAAAATTCATCTTCGGAGGTCCTAAGACAATCTTTTCTTGAACTAAGAATACAAAGTAAGAAGTAGCACACTCGCAAACTA